TGAACATGCCAAAAATAAAAGTCCCATAATAAAAGAAATAGATAAGGTCCTGAATAGCGTCATAAAGTCACTGAACCACACCATCCTTCCAGTCTTATCAGATGAGAATGTTAAAGACCTTATTTAACCACTGCAAACAAAAGATACATATGTGCAGTTAAATAAACAGAGATAGCACAGGGTAGGGCGTTTGCCTTGCAGAGCCGGGTTTGATTCCTCCACCCCTCTGAGAGACCCACAAGATGCCGAGAGTATCTCGCCCACACAGCAAAGCCTCGCAAGCTACCCGTGATATATTCAATATGCCAAACACAGTAACAACATATTCGATATGCCAGACACAGTAACAAGTCTCACGATGGAGACGTTACTGGGCCCACTCGTGCAAATCGTGCTACCGTGCTAAATAAATCTTAACACAGAAAGGTAATGAGGGATGTTTTCAAAAGAGTAAGAGAGCTTTCAAAAACTGGATCTCCGTATTTAACCCCATAGGCTATTTCTCTTTTTATTAAAAAAAAAGTCACTGCAATTCCTGCATATTTTCCTGTTATTTTGAGGCAGAAATAAATATGACATTATCACAAAGTCATTAAAACTTGCAGCAACTTATGAACTGTATAGTTTCTATAGTATGAGTTGCTGTTTTACTCATTTGGAAAAAAACAAGTATAATATATATATACACACACACACACATAAACATTGTTCTTGACAGAGTTACACAGAGTTTCAAATGATTTAACAGAGCAGCAGACAGCAAAATTTAGACAAAACATTATGTTAAAAATCATGAAGTTATTATTATGAAACTGGTGATAGTTTTGTCTATAATCTCCTCAGCTGATTCTCCGATTTATCTGTATGACCCTGAGGAATTTCTGAGTCTTATTTTATCAAATGTGTTACTTACTATTATATCAAATGAAAATAATTGTGACCTTCCTTCATAAACTATAAGAGTTTTCTAAATTATACTCTTGTATCCAATTTCCCCCTTTCCTCTCAGAGGCAGAATACCTGAATTTAATTTGGATGGCACTAAAAGACATTTCAAAGGCTCCAGCTGCATGTTATCACTGGAACAGAAACAGAAGCAACGGATGCGACTTGTGTGTCAAACCTTCACTGGGAAAAGCCTCCATCTCGATCCCTTTGATCCCTTTGATCCCCTGCAGGGGTGGAAATGCCCGCCCCAGACCAGCAGAACAGAGCAACTGTCATTTTAGCAGGACAAAGCTGTCCGTGTGAGTGGTCTGCATGCCTGGGAGCCATCGCAGCCACTGATGCTAGGAAAAATAAACAAACTGAAACTAAAAGAGGTGCTAATTATGCAGTACAATACAGTGGTGCAAAACAGTGGCCAGAGCATAGTACAGCGAGTAGGGCATTTGCCTTGCACATGGTTCAATCTGGCATCCCATATGATCCCCCAAGCCAACGCCAGGAGTAATTCTTGAGTGCAGAGCCAGGAGTAAGCCCTGAGCATCACTTGGTGTGACCCAAAAAGCAAAAATCAAAACAAAACAAGTGGTGGATATTACAGTTGCATAAGTAAGCATCTCAAGCTACTCCCCAACAAATTCCGCAAAGATTGAAGGAAATACGTGAAAGGCAGCCAGAAGGGGCTGGAGCGATAGCACAGTGGGTAGGGCATTTGCCTTGCACATGGCTGACCCGGGTTCGGTTCCCAGCATCCCATATGGTCCCCTGAGCGCCACCAGGAGTAATTCCTGAGTGTAGAGCCAGGAGTAATCCCTGAGCATCACCGGGTGTGAAGCAAAAAAATAAAAAAAGCAGCCAGAAACCATGAAGCAACTGCATAACAAAAGGCACATTGCCACAGTAATGACATAAATCTACTGTAACTAATAAGCTGTCTACTTTGAAAACTAAAATACCTGAATTATGAAAAGATATAAAAGTCGATATAAAGTAGATTTCCTTGAAATGCATAAGCGTTCAAATATGGTTTGCTGATCTAAAAGAAGCTACAATCTAACATACAAGATTATCAGGCAAATTAAATCAAGTAAAAGCAGTCAAAAATTAAGCTCGTCACAATTTTTCTCCAGTTGACACACAGGCTCTTCATGCAGGGTTAGCCACGCCACTGAGACGAGAGAAAAGGCCAGAGTCAATGACAGTACTGTGTGGATAGACACACGTTCCGGGGATTTGCTCACTAGAACCAAGTACTCCAATCTCAGAAAGAGAAATTCATTTTCTTGGTATGGAACCGCTAAGTCCTAATTCAAGATCTTGACAGGGTTCTGCTAGCATTCTTCAGCAGAATGGATGTGTCACCCCAATCTCCACACTCTCCTTCCTATTTGCTTTATCCCCAGTGCCTCGGTACTCAGATCTAAGTGGTCCAGGGGATCGGACGGATCAACACCTGGAAGCCAGCGCCTGACCTCCTGTACTGTCTCTCCATGCTGCTCATGCTGGTAACTGCCTCAACTGCACATGCAAAGACCTTAGCTCCAAATGTTAACATTCTAAAGTTCTAAACAATTACAGGTTTCTGAACTACAATTCACCCCTCCAAAAAAATACACACTTATTCTTGCAAGTTCAAGATCTGCTTGTTTCAAAATAAGACCAGAGATGTCCTTAGTTAAAATGAGCTCATGTCTGAGTAGGATTGTATTAACAGTCACGTTAATATACTCTAACTGTAGCTCTGGCACTGTCCTCCCGTTCATCGATTTGCTTGAGCGGGCCCAGTAACGTCGCCATTGTGAGACTTCTTGTTACTGTGCTTACGAATACGAATACATCACGGGGAGCTTGCCAGGCTTTCCCGTGCGGGCGAGATACTCTCGGTAGCTTGCCAGGCTCTCCGAGAGGGGCAGAACAATCAAACTCGGGCAGGCCAGGTCGGCTGCGTGCAAGGCAAATGCCCAACTAGGTCAGGCAGTCATACAAGGAGCAAACCATATAATCACAGAGGCAGAGATGAGTGTGACGTATCTGTAAGCCAAGGAACATCAAGGATTGTTGTGCAAGTATGAGAAGCTAAAAGAAAAAGCTGAAAGGACTTTCCCTTACAGTTTCAGCAAACACCACTCTGCCACCATCACCCCATACTTTCCACTTTCTAAATCATGAAAAAATTACCTATTTGTTAAAAACCTAGTCTGTGGGCTATTTTTTTAATGGCAACCCTAAAAAACTACCAGGCATGCACGTGAATGAACTCACTATATCTGTTATCGGGGCTCATTTCAGACACCTGCAAAGTGGATGCTCACATCATCACGGAGTTCATCATCTCGGAGAACAGTGGAGACATGGGGTGACACGGAGCCCTTGGCCCCTGATTTGGAGGGCAGTTAAAATTATAGCTAAGATTATAATTACGACAACTCCCTTCAGGATATCAGCAGTATCAATTATGCTATTGCTTTCCTCAATTTCTCCACCATGACAACTCATGGTGTCGTTAATTACCTGTGGCCATCACCTAGACTAGGACAGTAACTCTGTGAGCCGAGCCAGCACATTGTCCTGGTGCCAAAATACCACCCTTGTATTCAGTAGCACTGGCAGGTTTTGGGGCACCATCATTCCTGAGCTGAGTGGGAAGCTCTGTGGTACGCTCTTCCGTAGTCTCACTCCCAATACAACTCTCAAGGATTTGTCCTGCGGTCTCGAGAAAGTTAACCAACAAGACTGCATAAAATTGTAGAAGCAAGCAGATGCCAGCTTCACGCCTAATGTCGGATGAGATGCCAAGCCAAACCAAGCCTACTCGTGGGTACACTGGTCTTCAGGCAGAAAACTCTGGGTCCCTCCCCGTGGGAAGAGAACAGGCTGAGTCCCCACCCCTGCCAAAGCCAGCAGCCACACCCACACTCCACAGACACCACCACACAATTGTGACAGTTTCACTACTTCACAATCAATCTAAGAAGAGACACCAAGCTGAAGCCACTCCCAGGTACACTGGTCTCCAGGTGGAAAACGCTAGGGCCTCATTGAGAGGTGGGGGCAGGCCAAAATCATCCTAGTTCTACAGGTCCTGGAGCTCTGACATTTCCAAATTCTACAATACTGAAAGCCCAGTAGGAGGACAGCAAATGAGACAGGAAACCAGTATAGAAGCCAACTAAGCTCAATGAGCAAAACACAGACGAAGGCTCAGCTAGCAATGAAAAGCTCGGTAAATCCATGATGATTTTAATAACTCCACTGTGATATATAACAATTTCCACAAATTTTCTTTTACTGAACTATTTATGATAATTCCACTACTATTTTGTTGTAACGAACAATGAACACTGAATTATTTTGTGTTTCCAAGGGGCAGTCTTGAGAGGTGGGCGGGAAACTGGGGACAATGGCGGAAGGAAGGTCACAGTGGTGGAGAAATTGGTACTGGACAGTAAATGCCCAAAATAACTGACTATGAACAACTTTATAAACTACTTGTTTAAGGTTTTTTTTTAAAAAAAAATAGTTGTGACGCAAGAGTCTCAGGGAGCTCATAACACATTCAGGACAATACAAGGACGATCTTGATTTCTGAGATGATCAGTGTTACCATTCATACTGAAGAGCTGAGTTTGGTTGCAATCCTTTTCCATCACAACATCTAGGTCACTATCTGTTATCACAGTGAGATAAAAACTCTGGCTAAGACCACTCCTTGCTGGACCTCAAAATCTACACAGAATATCAAAGGTACAAACCTCCTGGGCTTCATCCCCTTCGGGACACGGAGTAAACAGCGGACATGCTGCTGAGGCCTTTAGACCCAGCACATCAAAGAGCTCTTGGGTGTACTCAAATGTCTTAGCCTCTAAAGGTTTAGAAGCTGTCTGGTCTTGTACAACATGAACTGACAATAACGTACTCACTGTACTCAGTAAAGAGGTAAAGGAGGACAAGGGATTAACTTTTAACAACCACTGTGCTATAGATGAGATTCCCGTAGGACAGCAAGTATACACCCGTGATTTAGTAAGTCATGAAAATTCTAGGGTATTTCTTACCTGTATATTCAGAAAATGGCTTATGGATTACTCCTAGCACAGGTTTCCCATTTACTGCAACACACACCATCGTGGTAACATACTGTCGAAGATCCTCTATGAGAGAAAAAAAAGTATATATATATATATACATATAATTGTATATAAAAGTATATATATATATATATATATATATTTACCATCTTACTATCTCGTTCTTACTTTGGAGAACCTGGCAGGCTACCGTAAGTATCCTGCCCACACGGCAGAGTCTGGCAATCTTCCCGTGTCGAAGTTGAGTACAATATGCCAAATACCAGTAACAATGATGGGTCTCATTCTCCTAACTCTGAAAGAGCATTGACTATAGCTCTTTTAAAATCTCAGAGCTAGGAAGAAGGAGACGTTACTGGTACCTGCTCGAGGCAATCGATGAACAACAGGATGATTGTGATCATGATACACAACTAACAAAATTTATGTGCATAAAATATCTTATTACAAATCACTGAAGCCTAATAATGAGAGCTAACTTAAGAGAAGAACTGAATTTTGGGTTTATAAACAAATTACCTGGTCTATTCTCTCATCCCATTACTTAAAACTCAGTTTCCTCATCTGTAAAACAGACATTAACTACTCATATTTAGTCATGAATTAAAATTTAGTTTTAGAACTGAACTTACCAAACAAGTTACTTAGTAGAGTCCCTGTACAAGGGATGCTCTAATTAATTGGAGCACTATTTTCAAATGAAGCTTGTCAGTTTAGGAAAAACGTTTTTATATAAATAAACCCTTCAGTATTCCATACTTATGTTCTCTATTACTGAAAAATATTATTTTTTTTTAATTTCAGTTACTATTAGACATACACACATAGTGTATTCTCCTATTCTCCAAATAGTTACCACAATGAGTATCTATAATGGGTCAAGTTCAGTGCTTAAGCACTGCAAAGAAGCATCCATATTCGGATCATTACTACCTAGGAGAAAAAGAAATAAGCCACAACTTTAGCACATACACCAAGAGCACAGAGAAAAGCAGGAACATCTCTGCATAACAAACAAGGCATGAAGAGAAGCCACAACTACGTAAACACACACACACACACACACACACACACACACAAAGAGGGGGGGCAGATGCAGTAATTCTCTGCTTTGTCACTTGCTCTCTGGACGCCTAAATTTTGAATCCCAGTGACAGATGTACACACCTTAACATATGAGTATATAAACAGGTGTCCAGTATGATCCATTTTGTTGTTTCTATTACTAAAATCTGCCCTTCATTAAAAATGAGTCGCAAAAAGCCACATCACTAATAAAAGTATGTCATATTACAGCATTCCGGGAGGTTAAAAATGTTCAGAGTATCTGATCCAGTCCAACTATCACACTTCACATATATAGCTTTGTCCGCTTTGAAACCTAACTGGAAAGACTGTTTCAGATCAGCAAAATAACTACTACTACATACTATCACCTGGTCCCATTTGGGGTCTAAGAGACATAATAGCAATCTAAAATTTGAGATCTATTTTAAAATTTACCTGTATATTCCTGGGTAGCATCAAGTGGGTCAATCCAGACAGTAACACTTTCTGCTGGTACCTCTTTGGGGGTGGTTACTTCCTTCAGAATGTCCTCAGGAATTTTACGATCCCATGAGATAACTTCCTGATCAGTTGCATCCACATGTTCCTCAGTGTTTATCTGCATCAAAAATAGATGATAGTTTAAAAGTCTGGAAAGAAAAAATGGCTCCTTAAAAAAAAAGGTCACAAAAGGCTGAGCAGAGCGACAGTACAGAGGGTAGGGCGTTTGCCTTGCATGCGGCCAACCAGGGTTCGATTTCCAGCATCCCATATGATCCCCCAAGCTCTGCCAGGAGTAATTCCTGGTGCAAAGCCAGGAGTAAAACTTGAGCATTGAGAAAAAACACAAAAGGGGCTGGATCAATAGCACAGCAGGTAGGGCGTTTGCCTTGCACGCAGCCGACCCAGGTTCGATTCCCAATATGGTCCCCCAAGCACCTCCAGGAGTAATTCCTGAGTGCATGAGCCAAGAGTAACCCCTGTGCATCGCCGGGTGTGACCCCCCCAAAAAAGAAATAAAAAACACAAAAGTGAAAAACATTTCAGAAAAAAACACTTCCCCCTTCCCCATGATGCATTGGTGGAAGTGGAATACGGAAGTCTCCACTATTATTGCACAACTAAGGGCCTTCAGATCTACTATTTTGGCACTCAAATACTGGCTTATATGTAACTGTTAAAATCTCTTGATGAACTGATGCACTGATTATGCTTCTTATGATTATGACCTCCTTTGCCCCTTGTTACAGTTCTGCCTTTAGGTTTGCAGGCTTTCCATCCCTTCTAACTCTGTCTTCAAGTTGAAGTGAGACTCCTGCAGGGAGCATTATAAATGGGTCTTAACTCCTTTATCTACTTCTCTACCTTTTTTAAAGTCTTCTGATTAAAAGAATTTAATTCGCTTTGAAGTTACAAGATATAAAATATGCTCTAGATATAAGAGTATATTTTAAATTGATACTATAATCACATATAAAAACTTCACTTTCTTTGACTTCCTGTCCCAAGTTTTGTTTTTGGCATTACATTTTAATCTTATGCTATGCAGACGTTAATAGTTTTTGTTGTTATAAGCTTTCTAAAACACACGTCTTTTAACTTTTGTATTACAATTAAGTGATTCACATGACAGTTACACTACTATATAGTTACCCTATATATTTTTCCCTTTAACAGTGAAATTTCAAGCTTTCATGTCTTTTTGTCTTGCAGAATTATCTTTAGGCGTCCTAGTAAAAATAGTCTTAGAAATGATGAACTAAGAGATTTCATTTCTCTGCGGAAGTCTTTAGATTTTATTTCAAAAGTAAAGACCTTTGCACACTTTTCTCATTCTTAATTCTTTTTTCCATTTACTCAACTAAAGGAATTTAAAGAATGATGTTTCTCAAGTTCAGTTCTTCCTTCTGCATGTTCTTTTGTTGATTTTCTACTGTATTTTTTTTTCATTTCATTCAATTAATTTTCATATCCAATTTTTTTTTTTTTTTTTTTTTTTTGCTTTCTGGGTCACACCTGGTGATGCTCAGAAGTTACCACTGGCTCTGCACTCAGCAATTACTACTGACGGTGTTTGCGGGACCATATAGGGTACCAGGGATTGAACCGGTGTGGGCCGTGTGTAAGACAAATGGCCTCTCCACTGTACTATCACTCTGGCTCATCTCTGAAATTTCTGTTGGCTCTTTTTTCCCGATTTCTCCCTTTCTACTGAAGACTCTTTCTATGTGCCTGTATTGTGACCCAGAAACAAAAACAAAAAAAGTGACACCCAGAAAATAAAAGGCAGTTCCTGGGTCTACTGTAGTAATGTTGAAAGTTAATGTTGTCTTAAGATAACTGATGCATCTTATGATCAATATTTTTGCCTAGAGAGAGAACAAGAGACAAATAAATGACCTTCTGGGGCTGGACCAACAGAAAACAGTTCCAGAATGGATCAATTATTATAAAGAAATTGTAAATATTAATCAAAAATTTCCACAAAACAAAAGTAAGGACCCAGATGGATTTCCTAGTGTTCGGGTTGGAGCAACAGCGCAGCAGGTAGGGAGTCTGCCTTGCACACAGCCGACCTGGCCTACCCAGATTCGATTCCTCCGCCCCTCTCAGAGAGCCCAGCAAACTACCGAGAGTCTCTCACCCGCATGGCAAAGCCTGGCAAGCTCCCCATGACGTATTCAATATGCCAAACAGTAACAAGTGTGACAATGGAGACGTTATTGGGCCTGCTTGAGCAAATTGATGAACAACGGGAGGACTGTGACAGTGGATTTACTTCTACACCTTTTAAAAAAGACCTACTTCTGATTCTTCCCAGAAAGCTGAAGAAACAAGCACCCTCCCAAAGAGTTTCTGTAAGGTAAAAATTACCATGAAACCAAAAGCTGACACACACCACTAAAAAAAAAAAAAAAAAAAAAAAAAAAAAAAAAAAAAGACCTGTTATTTCTGATGATTATGGATGTAAAGATCCCAAATAAATCCTCAGCCAACAAGATATAAAAAGATCATATACCATGGGGGCTGGAGCAATAGCACAGCGGGTAGGGCGTTTGCCTTGCACGCGGCCGACCCAGGTTCGATTCCCAGCATCCCATATGGTCCCCTGAGCACCACCAGGGGTGATTCCTGAGTGCAGAGCCAGGAGTAACCCCTGTGCATCGCCAGGTGTGACTCAAAAAAAGCAAAAAAAAAAAAAAATACCATGAATAAATGTTACTGGGCCCGCTCAAGCAAATCGATGATCAACGGGAGGGCCTTAATTAAAATTAAATTAAAATTAAATGGTATTTATTCCAGAGTTGCAAGGATGGTTTAATGGTTTAATACACAAAAGTCTAGAGGCATAATGCAGCATATTAATACAAAGGAAAAAAAATCTCATGATTATTTCAACAGATGCAGAGAAAGCATTCGACAACTCCCAACATCCATTCAAGATTAAAACTCTCAATGAAATGGAGATAGAATGTACCTTCCTCAATACAGTTAAAGGCATTTACCACAAACCCACAGCTAGCATCTTACTCAACAAGACCAATTGAAATCCTTCCCACTAAGAACATGCACAGGTCAAGGTTGTACATGCTCACCACTATTACTCAATATAGTACTGAAAACCCTGCCCATAGCAATTAGGAAAAAAAAAAAAACAGAGACTAAGGGCATCCAGAATGGAAAAGAAGAAGCTGGACTATCACTACTTTCATATGACAGGTTACTGTACTTAGAAAACCCTTAAAGACACAGCAATAAAAAAAATAAATAACACCCAAGGACAGTAGAGACAAGGGCCAGGTTGGAAGCCTGCCTCAAATGCTGTGGAAGAACGCAGCTGGGATAGAGAAGGGCCCACTGGAGGGAGTGCTCAGGATGGGAGATGTGTGCTCCCAATGCCCGGCACAGTAGATGCTAATAAAATACTTCTGCACTAAAACTGTTCTGCACCAATGTAGTTTCTGTCTTCCTCATAAACCTTCTCACTCAAGCTACCATCCGCCCTGATCACCGCTGGCTCTCACAGTCCCTGACAAGGAATTCAAGACCCTAAAGGACAATACTAATCATAAAACAACTGCTACCATGGGGTGAAAGCTTTTGGTTAATGCCTCCATGTACCAATCACTGCCTTTTTCTTAACTCACTATGGCCTATAACTTTGGATATAACTCAGAGGAAACCTCTAACACTTTAGGCATTTCATTAATGTTTTCTAAATGGATAAGCATCACAATACTTGTCTTACTCCCACCATTCCCGATGTCTTTTACTATCAACTACCATCTCTGAATTTACTAAAATAAACTATTTTATTTAGTATTTAAAAATGTCATTGCAATGTTACATCTTAGTAATAACCATGAGCCCTCAAATTCATTGACCTTTCCCATATATCGACACAGTCATGTTCCTTATCACTGCTATCACTGTCGCCCTGTTGTTCATCGACTGCCTCGAGCAGGCACCAGTAACGTCTTCTTCGTCCTAGCCCTGAGATTTTAGAAAGTGCCACATTCGAGGTTCTTTCAGGGTCAGGAGAATGAGACCCATCATTGTTACTGGTTTTTGGCATATTCAATATGCCACAAAGAGTTTGCCAGACTCTGCCATGTGAGCAGGATACTTTCAGTAGCAAGCTTGGGGGCCCAAGTCCTTCTGATCGAGGCCCAGCCCGTGTTCCTTAAATGTGCAATTTTTATAAGACTTGTCTTTCCATTCTCTTCCAGTTTTGCTTCCTGACCTCCATTAGCAAGATCAAACCATCTAGCAAGATCTCATGAAGTTCAACAATGATATACAGACAGAACCATTATAAAGAGTATATGCTCTGAGGGCCGGAGCAATGAGACATTGAGTAGGGCGTTGGCTGACCCAGGTTCAATTCCTGGCATCCTGTATGGTTCTCCAAGCACTGACAGGAGTAATTCCTGAGGATAATGCCAGGAGTAACCCGAGCATCGCTGGGTGTAACAAAAAAAAAAAAAAAAAAAAAAAAAAGAGCATGGGCTCTGGGCAGTGGGTGGGAAAGAAAGCAGGGACACTGATGGAAAAAAGTTTCTTTTTTTTTTTTAAGAGTATGTGTTCTATAATCTTATTACCAGAATTCAATTCTACCTTGATTTATGTGACTTACCTCAGTTAGTGATCTAGTATCTCAGGTGCAATTCTCCCCTTCTGAAATTGAATGATAAACTTATCCCCAATGAAACAAAAGGGCAAAACTGCTGAGCACACAGTAAGTGCTTCACAAGACTGGCTATTATTCTCAATGATTATTTTCACTGCTTATCATCCCTGCATCCAAACCCTGATCTTCCCTTACTTACTATATTCTCTCCCTAAACAATCCCATGAACAAATGGTTTCACTTAGTATCATAACGCTGGTGACTCACAAACTTTATTTCCAATTTAGAGATTTCTTCAGTGCTCCAGACTCGTAAAATCAGCTGTGGCCTGAACATGGCCCTCGGTCCTATCACACACACCTCTACCATAACCTACGCTAAGGATGGCACTTATCATCTGCCCCTGGATACTAATTATTCTCTATTCCCCTTTACCACCACCAAATCATCAAAAGGAAAAATCAGAAATGCAACAGCAGTCAACTGAGAAATCGCTCTGGAAATGCATATCCTCCCGCTACCTTTTCTACCACTATAGCCTCAACAGAGAAAGTCCCAATCTGTAAGCAGCTTCTCTGAGCCCTCCCAATCATTCAAAGCACCGTATATTAAGGTAATTCTTTATTATATGTTCTACGCCACTCTAAATAGAGAGTAAGAATAATGTTAGATCTATTAAGACCATAAAGTGAATAAAGTTTAGGATTCTTTTCTGGCTGTACGACCTCTGGCAAATTAGCCTCTTTTAAGCCTCAACTGATCTGGAAAAAAGGACGAAATAATCTCTCCTTATTAAGAGTAAATTAATACTGGCAATAAAGCACATCACTGGATAGTTGTCATTTACTGAATAAGTAAATGTTACATAGTGAAACAAGCCGAGTGTTCTCTTTCCCACCCAGGTTCTCATCTCCTCTCATGCCTCGATGCTTACGAAGTCTCTTACTGGTCTCATCCACAGCCAAATGACAAAAGCTCTCAGAACAGCATATAGCAGGCAAGTCAAGGAAATGTGGTCTTCTTTTATATCTCAAAAGTAAACTAGAATTCAAGCATCTTTAACATACAGGCTAGCCCCTAAATCTTTCTATTTTCATCTTTTTTTTTTTTTGAAGTAAATAGATTTTATTTGGAGGATTTTTAGGTATGGAGGGAGGGAGTGAGAGAGTAAAGTTAGACCCGAAAGCATGAAAGTACACATCTCAAGAGGGGAGATGCGGGCGACACATGTGCTCGGGAACCACGTGCTCGGCCACGTGGGCGCAAGTAGCACATGGGCTCAGGCAGCATATGCGCCCATTTTCATCTTTTTTAAAGACAGTTCTTCCATATACATCATCTGATTCTTTCTTCCTTGTATCTGGAAGAACTCATCCTAAGACTAGTAGAAACTCTTCTCTTTTAAAAGAGTACCAACTCTGAGTTTGGACAACATTCCCTTCCCTAAAATAAGGTTTCTCGACCTGCGTACCATTTAAGAAATTAGGCCTGGTAATTCACTGGTCTAGGGGGCTGGCTGTCCAATGCACGACACTAAGTCTACCCTCTGCGTACAACTTCATGATCAAATCAGACATTGTAAGATTTCTTTGGGAAGCAAAGTAGTTCTCTACAGCCTGGTTTCTCAACCTTCTCCCAACTGTGGCCTCCTGACCTCGTTCCCCTCCTGTGGGCCCCCAGTCCTACCATACCAGTTAGGCCGCATGATGTGGCGCCCATGAAGCAATTTTCGCCTGTGGCCACTTGGAATACCGTGGGGCTCTGGGCCAGGAGACACTGCCCCAGACCAGGGCCTCTGCAAAGGTTTCCGCCCACAGCCCCGATCGCATCAAGTTTGTATGCAACTCTGGAGATACAGAAAGTGGGTACACAAATCCAACATTGGTGAATAGTAAATTAAAGGTGATTTGTCTTACACTTCTATGATTTTGAGATGATGATACGTTATTTAGGCAGGTAGGCTCTAGGCTGACCCTGAGGCCCCTAGGAGAGTTGGGCACCCTACCCCTAAGACAGGGAAGCCCTGGGGGAAAGGGAGACCTTCTCTCATCTCTCCGTTTGCTCAGGGAACACAGATAAACAAAAACATCACGAACTTCTCAATGCAAACTTTCTTCTTTCTTTTTTAGCTTTTTTACTGAACCACTGTGAGACCATTACAAAGCCGTTCATGATTGGATTTCAGTCATACAAACTTTCTGTAAGAAAGTAAACCAAGTGGACGGTGGGTAGGGCATTTGCCCTGCACGCAGCCAACCTGGGTTTGATCCCTGGCATCCATATCGTACCCCGAACCCCACAGGAGTAATTCCTGAGTGCAGAGCCTGGAGTAAACCCTGAACAGTGCCCGGTGTGGCCCCAAAATAAAAATAAATTAGCAAATAAAACACACTACGTGTGATAAGATCTTTTCTTACCAAAAAACTTAAAAGCTTTGAAAACCACCAGAAATTTAAGATCATTTTGGAGAATTGTGGGGACTGGTTGGGGAGGAACTACATCTAGGTCTCTACTTAGACAACGGACTGAGGTTCCACTAAATGTAAATCTCTACTTAGGTGACGCCATTTGGTTTCTAGCAGTGACAAAGGGAGACAGCTCCATGGGTCACTCTCCAGTTTAACACTGTGAGAATGAACATAACCTCCACCTCCCAACCAACCATCCAAAATGAACACTAAAGCAGCACATGTAAACACGCAGACACGCACAGCTCTGTTCCACCAGGACAGAGACTTCCACATCTGCAATTCCGAAAATGCAGCGCATTCCCTTTGGCACTTCGCCAGTAAGGGAGAACACAAATGCAGACTCTTATCGAAGTTACCCAAGGCTGCTTGGTAGAGGTAAAAACATGCACACACACACACAAACATACTCAGCAACGAAAAAAGACATTGTCATTTTTTTTTCATTTGTACTCTGCTTCCTATATTTCATGATTAATGCTTTTAGACTTTTGCAATTAAATATTTTCCCCGAGATAGAAGTTTTGAGTCACTTTATAAAATAGTAAATAAGCTTGAGATGAGTATTTCTCGGTCTTCTGCAACTGTGGACCCTGTCCTACTAGTTAGCACCCTATGGCTCTCTTGGGCTGTCCTGAGGGGCTTCAGCGGGCCACATGGCCCCAGGTTTGAGAAATGCTACTTGAGATAACTCATAGAAATTGAGGAACTGCGTGCCCTGAGTGTCAGATTTCCCATCTGTAAAGTGGACATAAATAAAATTCACCTCAAGTTTTTGTGACAATCATATGAAGTTAGGCTGGAGCGATAGCATAGCAGGTAAGGTGTTTGCCTTGCACGCAGCCAACATGGCCAGCATGGCGGAGTTCGATTCCTCCGCCCCTCTCGGAGAGCCCGGCAAGCTACCGAGAGTATCTCGCCCGCAGGGCAAAGCCTGGCAAGTTACCCGTGATGTACTCATATGCCAAACACAGTAACAATTAAGTCTCACAATGGGACGTTACTGGGCCCACTCAAGCAAATCAATGAACAACCGGAGGACCGTGACCGTGACCGTGACCATATGAAGTTAATTCTGTGTGGTATCTGAGCACCTAGAACACACTCACAGAATAGATGACCACTATTATTGGCAGAACCTCAACTTCTTGCAAAAAGATAAAAATCATGGATTCTTCTACAAACTCTTTAAGACCTTGCAATTCAAAGAAGTGAGATGTTTTTAAAGCACATCTTACATTTAGATGCACATACAAGATAAATATTTGTAATGCCAATGCAGAGTAGAGAAAAAGAAATGTTCTGCTTTGACTTGACTTTGGAAAATCGCACCCACAGCATGAAAGCTGGTGTTCCTGATGCAAAAAAAAAAAAGGGGGGGGGGGGTTGGAATGGGAGGTGAGGGACAAGAAAAGAAACAAAGCAATCAGCAAGGCCGACCTGAAGGAGGCTACACAATACACAGTGTTCTACAGTGGCAATACTCTTCTACTTTTCCCAAGCACACCAGTAAAAGGTTAGACCACTATGATCCAAACAAGGCAGGGTTTAGATTTCACTCTATAAGTTGATAATTCATTAAAATGACCAATAAAACTTCCACCGGCACCCATGTTTCTATCCAGCAGCCCAGACCTACGACAGCCGAGCTCTTCCTCTGGAACTGGGAAAGCGGTTCAGGAAACCTGAATCATCAGAAAGTGCCCACGAACTTCAAAAGAGTCAAACAAGCATTAACAGTCACAAGTAAAACAATCAGACAAGACACGCCTGACTGTCCTTAAGAACGTGTCCACTCGGGGACTAGAGAGAGAGAGAGAGTGAAGAGAGACAGCTCCATGCTTCGCGTGCAGGAGGCCTGGGTGCAGGCCGGAGCACTGAGCCGGGAGCCGTCCCAGAGCTGGGTACCCCACCCACCTCCCATCCCCAGAAAAATAAAATAAAATAAACGTTTTTAACGGGGGAAAATGTCGATTCCTTCCCTGCAACCTACTCCCGACCCGGGCAAGTGTGTGTGTGTGTGTGTGTGTGTGTGTGTGTGTGTGTACAATGCTGCGGCTGGCTGGGCTTCCACGCCCCGAGAAAGGGTTCCCCAAATGCATGCACTCGGGGGAGCGGGGGTGCCGGCCCGGGACCCACGGGAAGGCAGAAAGGCGACTCCGAAGCAAGCCCGGTGCCCAGGGCCCTCCGACTCCCGGGTCCGAGACCTGCACCCGGCCGCGGGGTCCCGGGGGGAGTCCACCCGTGCCCGCACCCCTGCACGCTGGGGCCGGCCGGGACCTACCTGCACCCGGCCGCGGGGTCCCCGGGGGCTGGGGGGGGGTCCACCCGGGCCGGGGCCCGACGGGGGCAGGCCCGCAGTCCCAGCCCTGCAACGCTGGGGCCCGTGCCCCGCACCCGGCCGCAGGGTCCCCCGCGGCCCCCCGGCCCGCACCCACCTGCACGCTGGGGAAGGCCGTCTTGAGCAGGTAGAACATCTTGCGGTTGGACAGCACGTCGCCGCTGGTCATCTTGTCCTCGGCGCCCTCGCGCGTCTTCCCCTTGGACTTCTCGTGCAGGACGTTGCTCTCGCGGACGCGCCGCACCTCGGCGCCGCCGCGCACGGCCGCCAGCACGGCCACGGCCAGCATCTCGCGCAGGTCCACGGCCGCCGCCGCCGCCGCCGCCGCGCCCGCGCCCGCCGGCCCCGCCGCGCCGCCGCCCGCCGCCTCGCCGCCCAGGCCGAAGAGGCCGAAGCGGCCGGCCAGGAAGCCCGAGTAGAGGTGGTAGAGCACGCCGAGCCCCAGCAGGCAGAACACGGCCACCCCCAGCGGGGACAGGCGGATGCCCATGGGCGCCATGGCGCGCGCCGCCCGCCCGCCCGCCCGCTCGCCCCGCGCCCGCCGCCGCTACACCCGCGCCCGCGCCCCGCGCCCCGCGCGCCCCATGGCGCCCGCCGGCCGAAGCCCGAGTCCCGCCCGCCGCCCGCGCCCGCCGCCCGCCGCGCCCCCCGCTCTCCCCGGGCGCCGCGGACCCGGACCCCCGCGCGCCTCCACGCTCGCCGACGGCCGCGAGGTGAAAGGGGAGCGTGGGTGCGTATCCGGGTTACGCGGGGGCGGGGTCACGGGGGCGGGGCCTCGCGGCTCCTCCCACGGGCGGGGCCTCCGTTCTGGGGGTCTGCGCGGGGAGCGGGGCCGGACGGAAGCTCCTCCCCGTCGGGGCGGGGCTTCCCGCCTGAGACTGCGCCGGGCCCCGGGAGGCTCCTCCCTTCAGGGCGGGGCTTCCCCCTGCTTCGGCGCCGGGCCCACTGGAGGTTCCGCCCTTAAGAGGCGGAGCCTAAAGGGACTCCTAAAGGGCGGGGCCTCGCTCCGGTTTCTGCGCGGGGCCTCCGGCTTCTCCTGGAGGCCGGCGCGCGGCTCCTCCCCTCGGGGCGGGGCCTCCCGCCTGCGTCCGCAAGGGGCCGCGGGAGGCTCCGCCCCTAAGAGGCGGAGCCTGATGGGTCTCTAGGGGCGGGGCCTCCCTCCGGTTTCTGCGCGGGGCCTCCGGCTTCTCCTGGAGGCCGGCGCGCGGCTCCTCCCCTCGGGGCGGGGCCTCCCGCCTGCGTCTGCAAGGGGCCGCGGTAGGCTCCGCCCCTAAGAGGCGGAGCCTGATGGGTCTCTAGGGGCGGGGCCTCCCTCCGGTTTCTGCGCGGGGCCTCCGGCTTCTCCGCGAGGTCGGCGCGCGGCTCCTCCCCCGGGGGCGGGGCCTCCCGCCTGCGTCTGCGGGGGGCCCTGTAGCTCCTCCCCTCAGGGCGGGGCCTCTCCCTGCTTCGGCGCCTGGCCGACTGGAGGCTCCTCCCCTAAGAGGCGGAGCCTGAAGGGGCTGGTGGGGGGCCTCCCTCCCTTTTCTGTACGGGGCCTCCGGCTTCTCCGCGAGGCCGGCGTGCGGCTCCTCCCCCAGGGGCCGGGCCTTCAGCCTGCGTCTGCTCTGCCCCCCTCAGGGAGGGGCCTCCCGCCTGCATCTGCCCGGGCTGTGGGAGGCTCCGCCCCCTGGTAGGCGGAGCCTGCAGGGGCTCCGCTCCTAGGGGCGGGGCCTCCCCCTGGCTTCTGCAGTGTCGGTGGGAGGGTCGTTTCCTAGGGGCGGGGCTGGCAGGAGGCTCCTCCCCTAAAGGCGGGGCCTCCTCCGCTCTTGCGCGATGCCCGTTTGGCTAGCAAATATTGGAGTTTTTTAAGTCTCGGAGGGCCTTTGCTGAGCTGCTTTTCATGACCTGGAACCTGAGCTGTACAGGAGGAAGAGGGTGGCCCGGAAGGCGGTCTAGAGCATCGAAGGAATAGCTAAGAGGATGAAGAACCCCCGGTTCCGTGCACCTGTTCGATTCTACCTACACTAACATGCGCCTCAGAGACCCGGGCCCTACAAAAACGGGATGAGAACGCGGGTCTCCCAAACGGGAATCGAAAGACCTATGCTTGGAGTATCATGCTTCACTCAAGTGAGAGAAAGAATTCAGAGTTCGACCTCCGTCGACGATCGAGAAACAGGGACGCGGTCTCGTTCGCCAAGACATCGAAAATCGGATGCGCTGGACACGTAATGAGATTTGAAGACGATCGCTGGACTAGAGCCGTTACCGACTGGATTCCACGGGACATCAAAAGATCGCTTGGTCGCCCACCTACAAGATGGTCAGACGTCTTCGTCAAGACCCTGAACGAACGGTTTGAGGCTCTTCGTGTTCTTGGAGCGAGCAGACACCATTGGGCTACACTAGCACGCAGCAGGGACGAATGGAGATGTTACTGGTACCCGCTTGAGTACATCGATGAGGAACGAGTAACGGAATGTCAAGTGATCAAGCGATCCAGTGAAGATCTGAGCGCTTCGGGGAAATTGCACTTAAATCTCCCTTGGATAAACAAATCTGTTGCTGACACGAAACTCTTAGGACCGGCTAGGGGGTTAGATGGGGAACTGAGGCGTGTTTGAGAGATATATGTGCTTTTCTCCGCGGGCTGCACATCGCTTCCGAGTTGCAGCAGGGAGGCAGCGGGACCGAGGAATTTGTCTTGGTTCTGGTCTCCCGCTGGCATCGAAATGCTTCTGTTTTTTTTTTTTTCTGCATATGTGAATGTTTTCTCCATACCTCCACCAACAAAAATAAGCTATCTGCTGTGCGGCTACAAAACAAGTCTTTTATCTATGGCTTTCAAAATGAGAAGCACTCGGGACGTCACTCACTGCTGAGATCGGGACTTCACACGCTGCTCCAATCCTTCCTCACAGAGACTGTGTGGGGAGAATTGCCGGCTTGATACGAAAGCTTCTCCGGGCTGATTTGCGGGGACAATTTTGGAGTCAGTATAGCCCCTCTCACATGTGCTAGCAAAAGTTTGTACGTGCATAACTGCCTTCCACTCACTGTCACTTAGCAGTACCAGTGAATACTTACTAAGCTTTAATGAGATTTGTTTTAAGTGTTAATAAGTTTATCTTAAAGCTCAAAAGTGAGTATTAAGTCGTGCGTGCGGTATCAGTCTTACAATTACTATATAAAATCAACTTCAAATGAAGCATATTTTACCATTCGTTGTTAGAAGTTTTTAGTTTAAAATGGGCTTTAACGACCTTAAGCACCTAAAGTATACAAAACTGGGTACACAGAACATCCAATTCCAAAGCAAATCTTTAGAGACAGCCTTACCTTTACTAATTTTTTGTAGTTAGGGCTTACTTCCTTTTAATTTTCGTGTAATTAAATGATTCTATAGACAATATAGAGCCAATATCATGAACTATATTGGTTGCTTAATTTCAGCAATCTAGCTTAAAATAATCCCACCACAAAATCAAGTACAAATGCAAATTAATTTTTAAAAAATCATCAGTCACATGTAAAAAATTGGACTGAGACTCCTAACTCACACCAGGCACAAAAGTCGATTCAAAATGAATTAAAGCTCTTCCTAACAGACCTGACTACTTAATTATATTGAGTGAAACATAGGCAGAACGTTCCATGGCATCCAAGATAGAGGCATCTTTAAGGATTCGGTGCCACTGACAAAGCAAGCTAAAGCGAAGATAAAACGGACTTCAGCATTAACAGCCATGATCAGAGACTCAAAAATAAATCTCAGAAAAGAGCAACACCCTGCAGAGATGCCTCCAGACCCCAAAATCACCATCCAGTTAAAAATTTAACTCCAGCTCTTGCACCCTATTTAAAACCTTAGAATTCCTGGAGCATGTGGACATCTCATACTTTATGCCACTGATATTCCAAGAGTATCACACTACATTTGATGAGGAATAAAGTAGAAGACAATCGATCTTCATAAATATTATATATATTCATACACTTTCCTCTAAGGGAAACTTTTTGTGTTTTCAGTGGATTGTTCGTAACAATACAAAATGGGGCAGCGAGGGGTGAGGATCTATCTTCTGAGGCTCGACTCAAATAGGACAAGGACTAGGTGGTCCCTCCCCTCCTGTAAATGTGAGCTCAGTAAAAGTCAATTTGTGACAAAGTGGAGCCAATGGCACCCCAGCCAAGGTAAAAGGTAAAGGTAAAGGCCCTCCCGTTGATCGTTGATTTGCTCGAGCGGGCCCAGTAACGTCTCCATTGGAGACTTTGTTGTTACTGTGTCTGGCATATCGAATACTCTCGGTAGCTTGCCGGGCTCTCCGAGAGGGGCGGAGGAATCGAACTCGGGTCGGCCATGTTGGCCGCTTGTAAGGCGAACGCCCTACCCGCTGTGCTATCGGAGCGATAGCACAGTGGTAGGGTGTTTGCCTTGCACGCAGCACCCCAGCCAAAAGAAACCAATATCCTGTCTCACTTTGTTTTCACTTTGCGCAAGTGCATCCTTTACTCTGTGCAAGTATATTCTGGAGGTCCCTCTAAGATGTTTGTTTCTTGCCCCTTATAGTATATAAGGTTGATTCTGCTTGCAATAAATAGGCTGTCTCTCTGAAGTGCTCCCGGGGTGCGTGTCTTTCTTGCGCCTCCGTGTACTCACCCTCTCTCAGAGGCTGCTTGCCTCCTCTGAAACGGTGAGCAATGAACAGGGTGAGGAGAGCTGCTACAGCTCTTCTTTTGCTCAGCTCAGTGACTCCTGCGTGTCTAGAGCGACAGTCTAGGACAATTTTCTTTCCTCTCTAACAAGCTGATATAGAAAGATAACGAATTAAATTGGATAATATTGGAAGGAATGTTGTAAAAATGATTGAACTTCTGTCTTCCTGGGTCTTAAAATCTTCCTGGGTCTTAAAATGTGTAGGAGGATACAATCTACCCATCTTTTCCTCCCAGAATTTTACAAAGTGATAATTAGTTCCCTCTGGGGTGCCATTAATTGCATAATACATCTTAACTACAGCTGGGGACCCAGAATAACCTCACATACAGACTTGGGATCTCACCTTGAATTGTAAAGTTTCCTCCTCTCAGAAGTATATTTCACACCTGTTCAAAAAGGAGCTTGCCAGCTGAAAAGACATGAAAAGTCCTCTGGAATCAGTATGGGTAGTACTGCACATGCAACTATACGGAAATGACCAGAGTACTCTTATATTAAGATGTATTTTCTATTTAGATCTACATTTTAAAATACTGAGTGGTATCATGTAAAAGAATTACTGGTCTAATTTGAGACTCAAATCATGAGAATCTGGAGTTTCAAGGAGTTACAACTTGTCTTTGAACTTCTTACTAGCCAGTGGGGAGGGAAGGAGTTGAATATAGTTTTCTAATGGATTAATTTCACAAATTCAAAGCTTCTATGTGACAGTACACAGCATCCTAGATAGCAGATGCTGAGCTATCCGTTCATATTATCTTTATTCCCCCCCCCCACCCTTGCTTTCCTTCGTTCTTCCTACTTATGCTCTTATTTCATGGGAGTGATG